TATGTCTAATACTAAATACACAGTTGTGTAGTATATTTGCATTGCAGTCTCCTCAACAATCCTAGGAACTTTTTGAGAACATTAGTATGTTTCATTTATCTTCATATCCCCAGACTCTAGTATGGGACTAGGCTCTGAAGTTGCTTAATGAATCTTTTTTGAGTTGAATTGAGTAGAAGTGAAAATACATTGCCTAGAGTTGAAACACAGTTCATGTTTTACACAATGTTTCTAGCATTTCTGAGAAATTCGGCTAGGTGTCTGAGTTGCTGATGAGATTAGTGGGGAGCAATCCTCAGACTCTGGGAGGTTAACATATAAGAGGAAGGCAGATTCTCAGGTCCTAGAGAAATTTGGAAATCAGAGTGTCTGCAATGATAAGGAACAACAGGAGATTCAACAGTAGCAACTGGGGTGGAAATTGGAAATCTGGCCCCAAGAAAAAATTGCAGAGGCCCCTGTACCATCTAGAGTTAGAGCAGGAAGGATTTGATTCTAGGCACAAGAGACTTGTGAACACTTTAAATCTCTCTTTCTGAGGTCAAAATTGGTTCTAAAGGACTGACAGTGGGGTCAAATGACCCTATTTCTGAGAAGAAAAGGCAAGTGGAGAAGACAAACTGATCATTTTCTGGCAATTCTTAGAGCTGTGATATTTATTAACCTTGTCATCAACAATAACATATGGTCTAGTGCCAGGAAATAAGATCAGAATCACAAAGTAATAAAGATATTTGACTGGATGCTGAATGAATGTCTTGTTGGCCTAGGGGTGAAATATGATATACATGACATAGTGTGCCAATTCAGTGATACAGAAAAGGAAAAATAGAACTTACAATAAAAGATTTTTTTCTGCACACACACACACACACACACACACCTCAAAAGAATTTTGATAAGATAACATATGGTAATATGGCCAGTCAGGCTTCCTAAATAGTATGTGCAAAAAGAGAAAAGAAATCAAAGGGCTTATCAAACATCCTTTAAAGAGTCTAAGTCAGTATCCTAAAAATATAAAAATGGAGGGAAAGAAGTCTCAATAGAAGGAAAGTGCCAGTGTTGATCATTTCTCATAACTAAAATCACAAAACAAATATTACAGTCTTATTTATAAAATATATCTGTTACAACATTTAACCAGTTCTATCCTATTTTTTAGTGCATTTCTAGTTGCATTTTTACTTCCTAAGACATAATAAGAAGCTTGCTGCTTTATTAGAATGAATTAATATATTGAGATTATTAAAAAATCATTAAATCCTTTCTGTGAGAAAGTAGTTTTATAAGGGACAAGAGAAATAATTCACAGCTATTTTATAACTGTAAGGTTGTAAACATTGTTCTATATGCTTTAGTAATTTTGTTTCCTCTTAAAGAGCCTTATTTTGTTGAGAAAATCTAAAATGCTTTTTGAAATTAATTCACTTTTATAAATAAAATAATTATCTGTTTCAAAATGTGCGACTCCTCAGAAAATGTGGCTCTACTGTTTATTATACATGCAAAAAAAAAAACCCTGTAAAATGTCCTATACAAAAAAATTAAAATTGGGTCTTTCTTTGAGAGCACTTATGGTCTAGCACCCACTATAATGTAAGTATAGGAATTGACATATTCCATGGGGAAAAGCAAAATGTGATACAGATTAAGATCTATGCAATTTCAGAAAAGTAAAATATTTCTTCTAGCATTGGTGTCAAGGTTGATTTCATGGGATGAAGGAAAATTACACTGAGACTTAGCGACTGGGTTAGATGTGGACATGAAGCAAACACTTCATTCAAAGATAAGAGAATATATATGCAGTTCTGTCCACTGAAAGGAGCTAAAAGCAATGACAACCAACTAGCAATGAGCACACCTAGTGCCCCGATCTTGGTTTCTAAACACGATCCTTCAATGAAAGGAATCAGGGTTCCTTATAAAAGTGGTTGATACCAAGGCCAACACAGGGAAAGTATAAGACTCCTGGGGAGCAAGCCCAAGTCCTTAGAATATCTTGTAGTGTAAGAAAATAAGGAAGTACTTGATAAAGGATGAGTCATCTTAAAAGGGAATAGGAGCCACCTGGATGAGCAACCAAAGGCCAAAGCCAAAAGTTTCTATGATAATATTGCATAACTCATAAAAAAAAATCCATGAGTCCATGCTAAATAAATATTTAAATATATAAATAAGTGCAGGAGCACAGATAACTTTGTCTTATAATATAATTATAATTAATACTATGATATTATCAAATATTAATATATAGTATAAATGTACTATTGATATATAACATTTATATGTGATATCATTAAATATATTAACATAATTTAATAATATTATAATTAATAAATGCAGAATAAATGAGGGAAATACAAAGTTACCATTAGGCAAACATTATTGGTAATAATTGCTGCAGGCATAACCCACCAACAGATGCTAAAATTAATGGGTGAATGTTTGAGGAGAAATAGGATTTTTACATAGTCTCAATGTCTCTCTTCCAAGGCAGTCATTAATTAAAAGAGTAGAAAATAGTAACTTTTTAGTAGAGAACAATTTTAACAGACACATCTTGTACACAAAGATTTACAATAACAATGTTTATTAATACAAAAATATGAGGAGAAAACACTCCAAATGCCCAAAGACAATGAAGGCATAAATAGATCAACCCCCCAAAATATTATACAGCAATCCCATGGATGAATCTTAGGGACCCAAGTCTCAGAAGACCACATAGAACATGATACTCAGTCTAAGAACAATTAAACTAATCAATATGTGGTTTAAACATATAAACATTTTTTATAAATCTATATAAATATTTGAAATTTATGTATATTATCAACACAGAATTCAGGATGGGGGTTCCTTTCAGGGAGGAGGATGGCAGGGGAATAAGCACATGGGTGGATGCAAATGTTCGTTAATTGCTCGTTTTTGACTTGAGCGAAGGAGCCAAGCCTGTCCATTATATCATCTGAAAGTAAGTGAATAATGAATAGATGAGTGAATTAAAGAGGGCTGTGTGTAGACTAGTGATAGCATATCAAGAATTATGATTATGCTAAATCCCATCCTGAGTACCTGAGGTCAAATTAAATAAAAAGCTGATGAGTACAGGGTGGGAAAATATTCCCAAGTTTACCATTAATAACACCATTAGACACATTTACCAAAATTTATTAGCAAATGTCTTTTTCTTCAATATTTATTTAAACATTCCTCACAGACTGTCCCTAAGCATTGAATTAAGTAACAGAGAAGTTCTGACACTTAGTATATTTGTTTTTTGTTTTTGTTTTTGATTTTTTGTTTTTTTTTTTTTTTAGCTTTTAGATGATATTATCATGGCCTTCTACTAAATTGTTATGATAGATAGATAGATAATAGATAGATCAATCGATCTTACTCTGCTTTGCTTGATGGGCTTTTCCCCCTTTTATTCTGAAACCTAAAAAGCAGTATTGGGTTCACCATTATTGTCCACTCCCTGCCTCTCCTTCTATCTTCTGATGATCATCGATTGTTGATATTTGAAATATTTTAAAGAGAAAAATAAACAGCTCCTCTATGAAAAGAAGAGCTACAGCCACAGCGTCTTTGAACTGGAAGGGATCCTGGATCCTTTAGTCTAACCTTCTCATTTCACAGGTGAGAAGGAAGAGGCCCTTCAGGGCCACATGATTTGCTTGTGTGCACACAGCTGTTGGAGGCAGAGCCAAGATTAGAAACACATCCCAAGAAATCTTTCCTTGGCACCATTCTCAGAAAAATGCAGAATTCATTCCTAAATGAAACTGGAAACTTTAACCAGAGCATTCTCAATGATGGACAGAGGGGAATACAACTTGAGAAGAAGTGACTTTCTCAAGACCAAGCAGTTAGCTAATAGAAGAGTTGGAAACATGGTTTTCCTCACTAGGCGGTAGCAACAATTACCTCCATCTTCCACTCTTCTCTAGGAATGTCTCAGTGGCATTGAGATCCTTTCATTAGTGCCTACCCTCTATTTTGTTTGAGCCCCATTTGAATTTGCAGTGTGGTTCTGCAACCAATCACCATCCTTCATCCACTTAGCTTCTCCCCTTCTGACTTCTTCCTTTTCAGTCAAAACCAATTTTATGGGGCTAACCACTGTGCTTTATGAAACCCATAGTAAAGTAAAAAATGAAAGAGGGAGGGAAGGGGAGGGAAAAATGAAGGAAGAGGGAAGAATTAGTCTCTGGTAAAAATGGGGCCTTTGGAGAAGCTAGACAAGAGGCAGGAAAATTGGTTTGGTAGGTACAATTTTAATCCAAGGGACTCCATCCTGGCCCCCATCAGTGGTATAGATAGAAACTACAGAACTTAATACCTCATAGATGAAATGGATGAAGGAATGCAGATACCTAGGCCCTGCTACTTGAACTGTGGCCCCTGGATTAGCATTCACAGATCTGGTAGCTTGGTAGAGATGTAAACCCTTGGGCCCAGTCCAGACCTCCTGAATCAGAAGCTGCATTTTTATAATATTAAGATTAGAGAAGCACAGCCATGGGATGACTCTCAGTGTTCTGGTTTGGGTGACATGATGCATGGTGGTGTCATTTGCAGGATAGGGGCAGGTCTAAGGCAGGAGGATAGGCTGGAGGAACAAGCATGGCTAGCATTGAAATGAGACTATGACATGGCAGGAAAGGCTTTTATCTGGGCTGATGACAATAGGAACATGAGGCTTAGTGGAATTATCAACCACATTTTTACCTGGAATGCTGAAATGAGATGTGCACCTGTCTTCTCATTTGTAGCAATTCCATGGTGAACTGTGTGGATGCTCCCATCCTTCACCAGCAGCCTTTGTTAAATTTCAAGAATAACACTGGAGATTACTTGTTTTCTATCTCAGCCACAGTTGTCCCTGAGTATTGTCTAAATAAGGCCCAAGTGAGAAGGGAAAAGACCAGGGTTGGCACGCGTGCCTACTCCAGTGAAGGTATTTTGCCCTGAGCCCGCTCTCACCTCTTTATACAGTGTCCCCAGAACCATGGCCGAATACTCCTATGTGAAGTCCACCAAACTCGTGCTCAAGGGAACCAAGGCTAAGAGTAAGAAGAAAAAGAGCAAAGAGAAGAGAAAAAGAGAAGAAGATGAAGAAACTCAGCTTGATATTGTTGGAATCTGGTGGACAGTAACAAACTTTGGTGAAATTTCAGGAACCATAACAATTGAAATGGATAAAGGAACCTATATACATGCACTTGACAATGGACTTTTTACACTGGGAGCTCCACATAAAGAAGTTGATGAGGGCCCTAGTCCTCCAGAGAAGTTTACAGCTGTCAAATTGTCTGATTCCAGAATTGCCCTGAAATTTGGCTATGGAAAATACCTTGGTATTAATTCAGATGGACTTGTTGTGGGGCATTCGGATGCAATTGGACCAAGAGAACAATGGGAACCAGTCTTTCAAGATGGGAAAATGGCCCTATTGGCCTCAAATAGCTGTTTTATTAGATGCAACGAAGCAGGCGATATAGAAGCGAAAAGTAAAACAGCAGGAGAAGAAGAAATGATAAAGATTAGATCCTGTGCTGAAAGAGAAACTAAGAAAAAGATGATATGCCAGAAGAAGACAAAGGAAATGTTAAACAGTGTGAAATCAATTATGTAAAGAAATTTCAGAGCTTCCAAGACCACAAACTTAAAATAAGTAAAGAAGACAGTAAAATTCTCAAAAAGGCCTGGAAGGATGGATTTTTGCATGAAACACTTCTGGACAGGAGAGCCAAATTGAAGGCTGATAGATACTGCAAATGACCAGAATTTTTGTTTCTGTCTCCTCCTATTGGTTTTTTCTGAATAAAATAATCAATGGAAAAAAAAAAAAAAGACCAGGGTTATGAAAGTCTTCAGGCTTTAGCAGATCTAGGCCAAGGTGAAGGTTGTGAGGACCCATGGCTCTGGATGTCAAAGATGAGTTTTCAGGTTGGTAGCTTGGAGCCCTGACCACACTAGAGAATCAACGTTATTGTTTTGTTTTTCTGAATACATGAGATCCTATCATCCATACAACTATATTAATTTGAAACATGTTCTTTCCAAAACCCAACTAAAACAGCTTAGAATTAACTAACTTTCCTACATTGCTATTTTCTATTTCTGTTTTTCTTTTTGGTCATGTTCCTGGGAGATTTTCTAACCTTCCAGTATGTTTTTATAATTTGGCAGTCATAATTTTTTAAATTCCCAAGGTCTCCTTTCTTTGCCCTGCCTGTTTCTTTTTCATAGTATTTATTCTACCATGAATGTACATTTTCATCTTCATCTAAGGGTGTGATATTTTTCATTTTAAGTTTTTTTTCTATTTCCCTCGCTTTATCTCTCCACTCTGGGTCCCCCTTTTTTTCTATATATCTTTTCAGCTCCCCCCCACCCCGCTTTTCCTTTTCATCTTAGAGTGTTTCTTCAAATATCATTAACTTTTATTGAAGAGAGTCATTAAGAAGTAGTGTGTGGGTGGGGCTTTTGAAATGCCCCATTGCAGGTCTTGAATTATGGCCCACTGTTTTTTAACCTGAGCCTTTCATGTCTCCTTCTGATGTATTGGTGCCTCCAAATCCAGAACCTTCAGTGTTGCACAGAGTGGATCAGCTTCCTTCTTGCTATTCTGCCCTCCCGCCTACCTGAGTCAGCTGTCTCTTCACTGACCCTCTCTCCTCCAAATAGCAGGTGAGATTACTCACCTGAGAATATCTCCTCTCCTGGTCTCTATTCTTACGGGTTTAGGGTTTTTTAAAAAAAATTTCTATACTTTATCTTAGTGAAGTTTCAGGAAGTGGAGGAGAGAAATGCATATGATCATGTTAAAATCAGAAGTTCTGGCCTTTAATTAAAAAAAGCAAATGTAGAGAAGACATTGAAATAAGTGAGGCTTATTGCCTCAAGGAGGGAAGAGTAGAGTGTGACAGCTCTTACCCTGGGGCTAATGAAATTCCACTTAAGATATAATTGTCTATGTCTGCATGTTACAAGTCATATTTATATTTTAAACCTGTTTGTATATATTTTTATAACTTTCATTATGAGAGTAAAAATCCTAGTTTATAGGGCACCTGGGTGGCTCAGTTGGTTAAGCATCTGATTTCAGCTCAGGTCATGATCTCACAGTTCGTGAGTTTGGGCACCGCATCAGGCTCTGTGCTAACAGCTCAGAGCCCGGAGCCTATTTTGGATTCTGTGTCTCCCTCTTTCTCTGCCCCTCCCCCACTCGCACTCTGTCTCTCAAAAACAAACATTTTTTTTTTAAATCTTAGTTCCAACAGATAGTTAAGGAATGCTGGCATCTTGGTAATACAGTTGCAAGAGAGACAGAGGAGAAATGGAAATCCAAATTACAGGGATCACCAAGTTCAAGTGTGTTTCAAGCCACCATTTCCATTTGGAGGACTTCATGCAGGTGAGTGGGACATCACATTGTGAGATGTGCTATTTGCTATTCAGCAAATAGCATTATACATAATGGTCTGTGAACTAGCAAGGGCCTTTGGTTCTAGGGATCAGGCCTGACATAACCAGATCCTAATCCTACAACAGGTCACTTGGCAGTCTGGGACTGAAGGAGGGAGGCACAAGACACAAATACATAAGGCTGAGATTTAGGGAAACTGGCTAGAAGAACCTGGTGCCGTGGGCTGGGACACCATAGAATGGGTGCTGGCGGAATTAGGGCAGGGGCATTGGAGTGGCTGTGAGTTGGAGGTTTCACTCCCTCCAGTACTCCCTCAATTCCAACCTCTCCCCAGAGTTCTCTTACCAGGTGTATCAGCTTTCTCACTTCCATCAATGAGGTGAAGTATGACATGCTTTCAGTTCCTTTCTTGAATCTTTCTTTCAGGTACAAGACATCAATGACTCCAGTTCTGAGGATCCCAAGATAAGACTTTTTTATTGAGCATATGGGGTGCTAGAAACTAGCTCTCAAAATATAAGGACCCTTGAAACATGTAGAGAGATTATCATAGCTTGATGTTAAGGAAAATACAACTCTAACCACACAGCTAAAGCTGTAGCTTATTACTATTACTGTATTGCCAGCCAATCTAAATCATCCTCTGCTTTCAAATGATCGCTGGTTTTGAGTCAGAGACTAATTACCTCTTGGTAATTAGTATGTTTCTGGACCTCCAAAGACCTAAAGTCCAGTCCTTCCAAAACATAATAATGTTGTCTATGGCTTTCTAGCTGACACCTCTGCCATGTCTGACATTTTAACTACTCACATCCCACACTTGATAGTTTAAATTGGCTTCCTCTCCAAGAAGAACAATGGTCCCCATACAAAATTTCATTCAGAAAGTTTTACTTCAGTAAATTAGTGTTTCTTTTTAATATATAGATTTTTTAAGTTATGCAAAAAAAGCCAGAAGCAAACCTAATGTAAAGCATGTGACATCATGGCCATTTAGAAACCATACATTGTAGAAGAGGTAAGGCATAACTGTTGAGCCAAACACAGGCTCAATCACATACCACACCGAGAAGAGACTTTGGGTCCTCTCAGTATTACATCACAGTTACTCCAGAGCAGCAAGGTCTTCTTGTGAGTTTATATTAAGGAGGGGAAAAAATCAATATAATCAAGGAAAGTGGTAACATATTATGCCCCTGGTAAAAAGCCAATTGCTTTGAATATGGTCTCCATGAAGAGTACATCTTGTGAATCATGATTACTACCATGTACTGGTAGTTTATATTTGCCATTTATAATCCTTAAATCACACCAGAGCATATGGACCACATTATTCCTTTTATATAAATGAAAATAAAAATTTATTAAAAGCTAAGTAAATGGCCCAAGGGACTCCATAATAAGTGGTAGAGTCAAAATTTGACCTCAAATTGTGACTCCAACTCCAGAGTTTACTTTCTAGCCATGAGCCACATTGCCTCTTTGAAGGATAACATGATGGCAGCTAATTGCGTGAGCAACCATCCACCATCAACTCTTCTCTCAAAGATGCCTAAGATTTGCTTTCCTTTTCTTACTGCTCATTTATGTTAATATCAAACCCTGCCCTGTTCAAATAGGGATAACTACCAGTGCCACCCAAAAGTATTAAGAGTTTTGTTATGATTTTCCCTAAATGGAAAAAAAGGAAGGAAAAAAGAAAAAAAAAAATCTTATCTAAGTCAGTGCTAAATTTGTTGTCATTCAATTAAATTGAGTTAGACTTTCCCCCCTACCAACATACTGGGAGGAAGTGTAGTATATAAGATAAAACTGGACAGTTCTGGCACATAATCCCAGCTCAGCCAATTGCTAGCTAAACTGGCCTTAGGCAAAGCACTTAACTCCTCTGAGTTTTTATTACCCCCTCTGTAAAAATATTATAATACCTTCAATCTCAGAGTGATGATGCCATGAGAATCAATGACCTGACCTAGGTAAAGGACTTAGAAAAGGAAATGGTACATGTTATATGCATAATAAATAGCTATGATTGGCCATTATAAGTTTTTAGTGAACTTAATTTTTAATTCTGCTTTTCACTGGGCAAAGGAAAATTGATCTTTTACTGTTAGTGGGCCTCAGTCTACTTATGTTGACATTTCCACTGAATTTTTAAAGGTTTTGAAAAATACCCTACATTTAAGCAAAGCTAAATTAAATTTTAGCAAATTGTGACTTTCCAAAATTTGTGACATCCTGCAATAACCCTGCAATATAGGCCAAAATAATAACATATTGTCAGTATGACATACGCTCAAGTACTAGTGACTGTGTTGTACTAGAGCATTTCAATTGTCTGTCTTCTACTTAAAACCGAAGGCTTTCAATTTCACAGGTAATTGTTGACTATTTACCATGTGAAAAGTCTCAGGCTACATATTTTGAATAACACAATCGTGAACAAGATGGGGTTCCTGTTCTCAAGAAGCTTGAAATCTAGTGAGAGAAAAAGGCTAGGCTTGTATGATAAATTGCAGACATGATGTGCCCTGCAGTAGAGCTGTGTGTTGAGAGAAGCTCTAAGAACATGGCAAGAACATAGACTTACTCCAAAGGGAGATGATCATAAATCTTTTATTGATTGGATTGTGTTGGGCCTGAGCCTTGGAAAAATGGGTAGAGATTGCCCAGGTAGGATATTTAAGAAATAATTAGAATAGGGTTGATGTTTGGTACAAACTGGTAAACTTGTTTACAAGAAATTCAGATCTAATTGCTTGGCTGTCCATTTAAGTTTTTAATAGCTCAAATAGCACATCTCAGGTACAGAGAACCAGTCTTTATTCATGGTTACCTCTACAGTATTTAGGCACACAGTGAATGTTTGGAATGAATACCTGTAGCTAAGAGTGTGCTTCAGTAATCTTGAGTGTCATTTATAACCAGTATCTAAAGTATCTATGCAAACTAGAGAGTGTTGAAACATTGGCAAGATTAATTGGTACCAGATCACAGACATATTCCAATTGCACCCTGAGAAATTTTTACTTCACTCCATAGCATAGGGTTATGTTGAAGTGGTTTTTGGAGGAAGAAATTACATGGGTATTGCTTATACTTCAAGAATTTTACTCTGGAAGCTATGAGAGGGTAAGTTGGATGCACAGAATCATGATTTGGGGGAATAGAGAGCAAGCCAATAGTAGGTCATTGCCACTTCCTAGAACAGAAATAATGAAGGGACAAATCACACCACAGGAATAGAAAGAAAGTGTAAGAGACAGACAGAAATATTCCCTCCAGAATTCAGCACCAGAATTAAGGGCCTTAAGTCATCAATGCCATCAATCTACTATTATGACTATTAATTTTTGAAGTTATTAGCAAGCTAA